CAAGAACGCAAAAATCGAAAAAGACCGGAGCATTATCCAGTTGAGACAAAAGCAGCGTCACGCAGTTGCCACACTATGGATAGAATAAAATCAAACTACTTTCCATTTTTAAATACATTATCTTATATCACAGAGTGGAACTCGAGCCAAAAAAGCGGGACATCTGACAGCTGGGATAAAGATGCTGGCTGCCTCCATTCCCTTTTTTTGCAGCACTCGACTTTGTTTTTGTCGGTGAATTATCTTCACTTTCTCAAATTTTTTCTAAGCAGCGGCAGTATGTCTCCAAACAATTCGCAAACAAAATCGGCAACATAATTTAAACATGGAAAACAGCATGTACCTGACCAAACAAGCATGCTTTCGTCAAATTGTATCTTTAGCATGAATGAAGCAACAAAAACATCAACTCCTAATGCAACAATAAACCAACAAAATATTTATAAACACAAGCTTTTTTAAATTATTTCTAGCGGTCATGTTTATCATACATCATGTATAAAGGGCACTAAAGCAGAAATGTTAATATTTTTCATTAAAAATGTGAAAATTTATGCAATATTCAATTTTACAATGTATCAACAAAAATATTCAGGTATATTCAACCAATTTACATACCTGCACCGGTGATAACTCGTGCCGTTCACTTAAAGTTGTAAACGGAACGCTTTTAGTGAGGGATACGGGTTGAGAACAAATCGAACTCACCTTCACTTTCTCGGATCTTTCGAATCGTGACGTATTAATCAGTACATTACTGGCATATGTCTTCCAGATCTAGCAATCGGAGTGTAATGATAATGGAAATGCGGAACCAACTGGACGTTTTATGAAAACAAATATTCAAAAAAAAAAAAAACGAGGAAAAAATGAAGGGAAATGTGTGAATGACAGTAGAAAACTGATACATAAACAGACGCCTAAAAATGCTACTGATAAAAAACGGAAGATTAATGAGGTTGCATAAATGAGCTATGGCAGAGACATAAATTTAAAAATACTACAGTACCCGGCAGATCCCGGGCCTACTGCGCCAAGATTAAAATAAGATACAAAACTTTTATTCTGTTTATGGATCTTCGCAGTCATCCAGTATCTTCTCGGAGTCATTTAGGCACATTTGCTTGGATCTCTGCCTAATAACACACTTCTTTTTCCCCTGTGGCTATGAATTACTTTTTCTGGGCACGCCCAGCTTCGAACCCTGTGATCTTTGGGCACGAAACCTGCCTTTGAGTCCACTTGCACTGAGTGACAAGGATAAGTTTGATCGCCAAAAGCCTTCAGTCCCCTTTTCCTCTTTTTATTTTTTTCAGTATTCGTCCGCAGTGGGTTAAAACAAGTAGGAAATGAAGGGAAGGGAGCGGAGGGG